AATTGTATTACACTTTATTATGTAGATTAAGAATATATAATAATTTATATGTGATGTTAAGATATGAAACTGTCATGTTGTGCGAGACGAACACCCAATCCTTTCTCCATAAACAGCCACACGTCTCCCGTATAAGATCTGCTCAAGCACCTTAAACTCTTCAAACTTTTACCATGTAAAACCGAACCAAGCATGTCATCATAAGAAGTTTCCCTTCCCAAACAAAATATAAATAAGGCAAAAATAAAACACATATGACTTGTGAGACACTATCGGAATACCAATTTTTGAGGGAAAAATTAGTAAAAAAAGTACGGCAAAAATCGCTCATTCAAAAAGTTATTGTTGGAAAGATTGTCGGCCTCCAAATTGGATGGAAAAAGTTGATAGCTGTACCAATCTTAATAATCAGCTCTGCCCCACCTGACTAACTCATGAATTCAAATCAAAAGATAATGTTATCCATTAATTGAAAATGAAAAGGCTTCCTAAGCTAAATCAACGACCAATATTTGAAGGGAAAGTAGTTGNCATGAATTCAAATCAAAAGATAATGTTATCCATTAATTGAAAATGAAAAGGCTTCCTAAGCTAAATCAACGACCAATATTTGAAGGGAAAGTAGTTGGGACCCCTCAGAGGAGTATTAACCTCCTTATCGACGCTAGTGGAAATTAAAAAGCTCCTCAAGTAAATAGAGTCTCGTTTGCCTACACTAATGATCAGGGAGACCTCAGACCAGACCCCTCAAACAAAAAGAGTTTAATCCTCTCACAGTGGATTAGGTCCCCTCCCCTACAAAAACTGACTTCAAACTATAAAAGGAAGCCACGTAAAATGCGAGGCTCGTTTAGTTGCCCTAAAGTAAATGAAATGATTGTATTAGTTAATACGAGCTAATTCTATATAAACGGATAAAGCACAAGATTAAATATTAGATAAAGTTAATACTCGATGTAATTTAGTATTTGGTAAGACACTGGATAATGGTGGAATAATAGAGTTTTAATTACATATTGATCAAAAAATTATCAATCTTATCATGTTATTAATGTTTTTGTTTATTTGGTGGGTAAAATAGTAAATTTATAACTTAATATGTTAAAACTAGACTATAATACCACCTCGTCAGATGGTATTATAATCGGCTCAATAGTACAGATAGAGTATATTATTTGAATAAGCATTTGAAATAAGACTATACAAAACACAAAAAATTTTTGCAACCAAATACAGTGTAAGGTTAGATTAGAGAGTTTTTATTTATTATAACTCCTTAATACACCTCTTAATACCGTAACCAAACGATCTCCTAAGGTATGCAACTATGTTCTCAAGCACTACCTTTTAGCTTTCACCAATTATTGACTAAAGAATCGGAGGTTCAATGCAGAAACAAACTCCCCCTCCAGTCTCCGACTTCTTTTTATGTTTGTTGGCACCTTGAAAACCTTACTTGGAGCCTCGAAAAATTGGTTCAAAACACTAAAAAACTGGCACTTAGGTAAACAGGGTTCAACCTATCTTACGTGGAGGTTCAAACGAATTTTACACCAATACCAAATGTAGTTCTTTGTCTCATCCAATATTCAAATATGAATTCAATGTTTATCAGTACAATTACCTAGATCACGTCACAAATATATATTAAATTATTATCTAGATCACATCACAAAATTAAGTGAACTTGAAAATGAAAGTATATTTGAGAAGATATATTCCCAGCTAAATGCTCTCTGGGTTCAAAAGTGGACAAGATCAACCGCCAATTCTTGTGTAAGACAAAAAAGAACCCCATTGATGATCCAATTTAAGTCCACGTTCAATCCCTCGTCCCTTTCCCAAAATAGGCCCCCTTAGTATGCCAAGTAGTTCGAGTTGAACCATAAATGCCTCCTAACTCCTCTCCTTTTCCTCACAAATTAACATTTTTAAGTACGGTGATCCAAGACCTTGGACTTTTGGATTCAGATAAGCACTCATTCAAAACGATATTATCAATCCTCTCCCTCTAGTTCTCTCCCTTTCTTCCTCCTCAGTAGCATCCTGTACACAAAATGAGCTGGTGGTGGCTCGGAGCGGTTGGCGCTACAAGGGTATGTAAATATCAGTCATAAACATCACAATGACTGCAATAGTGTAGGGAAAAGAATTTTTTCGATTTCTAGTTTCGATTAGCTTGAAAAAAAAAGTATTATTTAGTAATGTTTTAAAAAGTAAAATTTTTTATTTCAAAATATAAGAATTTTTCGTGCATCTTGACTAATCTTCTCTTCGATCCAATCAAAGAGCTTTTGAGGACCTAAAGTAGGTATTGTTTGATGACCCCCGCAATTGCCAAATTACACTAAGTCATTTGACGTACACATCAGACTATGTCATAGGCAATGTGTTAGTAGGCTCAAAAATGTCTGAATTTATTGTTGGACACTGTTATGAATTATCCAATTTGAGTTATTTAGGTTCCTTTTCAATGGCCTAAAAATTCGCTAACATGCATGTCTTTGATTTCAATATTTGCAGAGAAAACTAGGAGAACATGTCGAGGCACCAAAAACTCACAAAAGCGTCGGCATAATTGTTGGCGTCACCGGCATCGTCGGCAGCAGTGTAGCTGAAATCCTCCCTGACACCGACACCCCCGCTGGTCCATGGAAGCTCTACGGCATCGCAAGCGGACCGCGGCCATCTTGGGCCGCCGACCACCCAGTAGAATACATCCAGTGCGACATTTCCAACTCTGACGAAACTGCCGCCAAGCTCTCACGCCTCACCGACGTGACCCACATCTTCTACGTCACATGGACCAACAGAGAAACTGAGGTCGAAAATTGCAGAGTCAATGGAGCCATGCTTCGCAACGTACTCGAAACTCTGATCCCAAACGCACCGAATCTCAGTCATGTTTGCCTCCAAACCGGATCCAAACACTACACCGGACCATTTGAACTTTCCGGCAAGATCCAACCGCCTGATCCACCTTTCACCGAAGACATGCCAAGATTAAACGTCCAAAATTTCTATTACGTCCAAGAAGATATACTGTTTGAACAGATGTCTAAGAAAGAAGGCATAACATGGTCTGTCCACAGACCCGATGCGATCTTCGGCTTCTCTCCTGTCAGCAAGATGAACATCATTTGTACCCTTTGCGTTTACGCTACAATTTGTAAGCATGAGCATAAACCCTTGAAATTTCCTGGGACTAAAACGGCTTGGAACTGTTATTACAACTCTTCGGACGCGAATTTGATTGCAGAGCATCATATATGGGCAGCTGTGGATCCATATGCGAAGAATGAACCATTTAACATCGTTAATGGCGATGTGTTCAAGTGGAAGCACTTGTGGAGGGTGCTGGCTGAGCAGTTTGGTGTGGAGCCTGTGGAGTTTGAGGAGACAGAAAGGCCAGTGAGGTTGACGGAGATGATGAAGGACAAGGGCCCGGTGTGGGATGAGATTGTGAGAGAGAATGGGTTGGTGCCGACGAAGTTGGAGGAGATTGGGGCGTGGTGGTTTGCGGATTTGATTTTGAGTACGGAGGGTATGTTGTCGAGCATGAATAAGAGCAAAGAGCATGGGTTTTTGGGGTTTAGGAACACCAAGAAATCGTTTGTCTATTGGACAGACAAAATAAGAGGTTACAAAATAGTTCCTTGAGAATGAATGATGGAAGGTTCGGGGGTTTTTGAGGTAGCTCGATGTTGAAAGTTCTGGGATTTGTTGTGAAAATGTTGGGTTTTGTGTACTTAATCTTGTAGAAAAATAATGGTGTTTTATAGTACGATCGAAGTGAAACTTTTTGTGGTTTTGTAATTAAGCTTGTAGAAAAATAATGGTGTTTCTATAATATGATCGAAATGAAACTTATTGTGGTCGATAATACAATCTACGAGTCTTTTAAGCATTTTGTATTTACCTACTTTTCTTTTCAATGGTGAAGGATGTTTGAATTAATTTACGCGTACTTCGATTAATATTTTCTTCGGTCTAGTCAAAGATAAGTTACCTACACTGACATTAAGATATTTATGAGATGTCAATTTCTCATGAATTAATCTCAAGAGGTGGTTAAAATTCAAATTCAAGACATCTAAGTTTACAATTCATTCCTATTATCATTTGAGTTAACCCTTAGGGTTATTTATATGAGGGAATCTAATTTATTAACTTAATTTGATGACATAATTCACTATAACTATTGTATTAACTGTGAACCCCATTAAACAATAAAACTTGATGTAATCCAATAATTATAATGAAATTACATCATTAAGTCATTAAATTAAGTTAAATTTNAACATCATTTGTACCCTTTGCGTTTACGCTACAATTTGTAAGCATGAGCATAAACCCTTGAAATTTCCTGGGACTAAAACGGCTTGGAACTGTTATTACAACTCTTCGGACGCGAATTTGATTGCAGAGCATCATATATGGGCAGCTGTGGATCCATATGCGAAGAATGAACCATTTAACATCGTTAATGGCGATGTGTTCAAGTGGAAGCACTTGTGGAGGGTGCTGGCTGAGCAGTTTGGTGTCGAGCCTGTGGAGTTTGAGGAGACAGAAAGGCCAGTGAGGTTGACGGAGATGATGAAGGACAAGGGCCCGGTGTGGGATGAGATTGTGAGAGAGAATGGGTTGGTGCCGACGAAGTTGGAGGAGATTGGGGCGTGGTGGTTTGCGGATTTGATTTTGAGTACGGAGGGTATGTTGTCGAGCATGAATAAGAGCAAAGAGCATGGGTTTTTGGGGTTTAGGAACACCAAGAAATCGTTTGTCTATTGGACAGACAAAATAAGAGGTTACAAAATAGTTCCTTGAGAATGAATGATGGAAGGTTCGGGGGTTTTTGAGGTAGCTCGATGTTGAAAGTTCTGGGATTTGTTGTGAAAATGTTGGGTTTTGTGTACTTAATCTTGTAGAAAAATAATGGTGTTTTATAGTACGATCGAAGTGAAACTTTTTGTGGTTTTGTAATTAAGCTTGTAGAAAAATAATGGTGTTTCTATAATATGATCGAAATGAAACTTATTGTGGTCGACAATACAATCTACGGGTCTTTTAAGCATTTTGTATTTACCTACTTTTTTTTTTCAATGGCGAGGGATGTTTGAATTAATTTACGCGTACTTCGATTAATATTTTCTTCGGCCTAGTCAAAGATAAGTTATCTACACTGACATTAAGATATTTATGAGATGTCAATTTATCATGAATTAATCCCAAGAGATGGTTAAAATTCAAATTCAAAACATTTAAGTTTACAATTCATTCCTATTACCACTTGAGTTATCCCTTAGGGTTATTTATACGAGGGAATCTAATTTATTAACTTAATTTGATAACATAATTCACTATAACTATTGTATTAACTGTGAATCCCATTAAACAATAAAACTTGATGCAATCCAATAATTATAATGAAATTACATCATTAAGTCATTAAATTAAGTTAAATTTTTAGAACTTAAAAAAGTTACTCTATTTTTACCACATTCACAACATGGTTTCACTACTACATATCAACTCTTCAAGGAAGGGTTTATAATACTACTCACTCAATTTTATTAACAAAAACGGATAAAACCATTAAATTAAATTTAAATAATATTATTTTTCTCAGTTGATGGTATACAAAAATTGTCAACCAAGTTAAGTATTAAATAAAACTGCAACCAAATTTAGGATGCTTGATTTCCTTTTTTTGTTGTAAATGAGACATCATGTACTGGATTAATTAGAGAAATGAGTGGACTTAGCAAGTTAGCACTTAGTATGTTTCTCCTTTGGATTGAATACGTTGTTCTTTCAACCTAGTTGAGTCTGATATTTGATAACTTAGAACTCATATATAGATTTAATTATTTATCACACTTCTTAAGGCCTAACCCTATTCAATCCCATATTTGATAGATGATATAAAAATATGGAAAGTCCATAAATTCATATAAAAAACTCTCCATTAATGGGGTTTAATCAATCAACTATTCACTATGAGCCGGGAGTGGGCTGAAATTCATTTATTCTATGAATCCTGAGTCTCAAATCTTAAACCAAATATGGGTTTATAAGGTATATTGACTATTTTCACAAAATTCACCCTTAAATTCCATCCAAAGCCATACACTAAACATGCCCATAGGGATATGCTTTAATTGACCTCAAGCCATGGTGGCTAACTGCTGAGATCGAGGAAATGGGGCTTAGTGAAGAAGAACCAAGGGTTGTGCTGCTTGGTCGACATATCATTTCTTTCACTCTTATTAGTGCTAGTAGGTAGGATGGGCCAATTAATTGGCCTCGGGTTGTTGATGTAGTTGTTTTTTGTTTTCTTTGATTTTGATTGAGTTGATTTATATTTATATAAAGAGCTCAAGATAGAGAAGCAATGTAAATTAGACAATCTCGATAGCGATATCCAAAGCGTGACAGATCGAGTCAAATTGAAGAGCTTGTTGTGGAGATAGGTCTGCGATTCGTGAACCGAATGTCTCACCTGACAACTCCAAACACATTTGAGTCTCAGAATCACAGTCATTCAATAGAATTCGACTATAGTCAGCGCAATGTTGAACACCCTATAACCAAAACAAATATATATATATTGTTCTTGTCACTTTATCACTAAATTCTAATATAATTTTGATCCGCTATCAATCCAAGTAGAGAATATCAGTAAATTATATTCACATGACTTCTTTTTTCTTCCTATTATTGATATTGCTTTTTCTGTTTTCTTTTTTTTTTTTTGAGGGATCAGGGGATGAATGAAGGTGGAGGATGGGCCACGGTTTGGTGTCCGACGGCCTTGATATGGGCTTTTTGTTTGCTAAACTTGGGCCTTATTGTTCAGCAGACTGATTCTAAGTAGCCCTTTGGTACCACATTGAAAGTATCAATCGAATGAATCTTAAGTTCAACCCTTATAAAATATTAGCAATGCTATTGGAACTTAAAAATTTGACCTAATTTTTTGACCTAATGTANCAACCCTTATAAAATATTAGCAATGCTATTGGAACTTAAAAATTTGACCTAATTTTTTGACCTAATGTACTATGACTTTTGGATTGGCTATAGGTCCTATCAAACATTGAAACTTAGTGTTGATCCAATTATTCATATTAAGCTACATCATTATGTTAGTAAATTAAATCAAATTTTTAGATCTAAATAGCATTACTTATAAAATATTGCACAAAAACATTTCAACAAACGATATAGAATTTGGGTCTCTGAACTTCAACATCAATTCGATCGAGACAGATCCCAAACGAAATTATTTGTGCCTAAAGAGATGTATTTTGCACGAGATGATTTATGTGCAATATTTGAGATAGGGACACTTGGGATGAGCAGCACTTTGAGATTCTTGAAACAAAGGAGTAGAGTTATGAANTTATTTGTGCCTAAAGAGATGTATTTTGCACGAGATGATTTATGTGCAATATTTGAGATAGGGACACTTGGGATGAGCAGCACTTTGAGATTCTTGAAACAAAGGAGTAGAGTTATGAAGGGGTCAGATGTATATCCAATGTACTCTCTATGATTCTTAAGTTAGTCGGCGATCAAGGGAGAATATATAAATACTACAACATAAGTTAAATTTTATGTGTGCATNACTCTCTATGATTCTTAAGTTAGTCGGCGATCAAGGGAGAATATATAAATACTACAACATAAGTTAAATTTTATGTGTGCATGTCAGAGACTCAACTCCTTTGATTTATTTATAAAATAACAGTTTACACAGAAAAAATGACTTAAAAAAATTATTCCCGCGAGCCTCTCGTGCCACCAGTTTGTGACAAAGAACTAAGCAGCACCCCCCTCCCCCCACACCCCCAATAAAACTCCACATTTAAAATAGATTAATGTTACTTTGACAAAAAATATTGATAATATTTATCAACTCTCAATAGATTTTAATATTTATTAGAACTCATTATTTATTCAATAATCGTGATAGAAAGAACCAGTAAAAAATTTTAATATTTTTTGTCTAAATAACATTTATCTTAAAAATATAAATTATATAAAAGAATTTCAATTACAAAAAAATGGGAAGTGGACAGGTACTCTTTTCTGTCTATTCTCTTGAGCCAGCAGCTTACTCTAAAATAATTGCACAACCACAACTACAACCACTCTCTTCTTTGATTTGTACATAATTATTTAAATTTGACAGCACTATGATAAGAAAAAAATTAAATGGGTAGCTCTAATGATAACAAAAAAGAATTACAAATTCAAAAGTTCTGAATTTAAATCTTGACAACTCTCNAATTAAATGGGTAGCTCTAATGATAACAAAAAAGAATTACAAATTCAAAAGTTCTGAATTTAAATCTTGACAACTCTCGGAACTAGTTTTTGATAAATTTATTTTTTAAAAATATTTTAATACTAACGTGAATAATCTATTTTTAATCGAATCAAAAATAAGATTGATTGAAAAGCACGATAAACTAAATTATAACAAGAAATCAGCTAAACTNTGAATAATCTATTTTTAATCGAATCAAAAATAAGATTGATTGAAAAGCACGATAAACTAAATTATAACAAGAAATCAGCTAAACTGACCCAAATGCCAAAACAAATTCCAGGGTCATTTTCTTCTTCTATAATTAGCTAGCATGATACCGAAG